AGAAAAAAATTAAAATTGAAAAAAATTGCAAAAGGTACAAGAACCTAGGCGCCAACCTAATATAATCGCAAATGCTACTCCCAGATTTCCTTCAAAAGCCCTAAACTCAACATTATTCCACTGATGTTTGCAACAAAAATACTCGTCACAGTTTTCATCCTTTTTCGCTTCATGAAACCCATCTATTTACTTACAGCTTGGACTAGTGTGGGTGGAGTTTAGTCAAGGTATGAGTAAAACTTGGTTCCCTCTTGAAAAAAATATCGTTTTATACATTTAAGGCTACGTTTTCATTGCAAAAGCCGCAAGGCTTAGCAATTCTATAGCCTGGAAACTAGGCCAAATTGAATTTATGTCCGTGAAATGGTGAACTAGACAGAACTCACTGAAGTATTCTTCTTACAGCGCTGTTCTGCTACACTAACATTTACAACTATCAAAAATTGGACGTCGAAGTATTGAGTGAAGATCCCATTCTCATTATATACAGGAATTTTGCCCCAGCCACATTTGTTGCCGATTTCCTTGCGGATGCCAGAAGGAGGCAGTTCGATAATCAGGTATCCTTATTAATAAAGGAAAATGGATGAAGACTTCCCAAACTGGAAGTTGATTTTGATAGATCTTTCCCCCGGCAGATTATTTGAAAGTGCCAGTTCTCATAGTCGGTGAAGACATCATTGTTAGCCTCGCTGTAATCTCCTGTACATAAAAACTCAAGATCTCGTGCTGTTTTGGTGAAAGTTATCATTTTTCCAAAGAATTATTTGTTATGGCAGTTCATTTCAAATAATATTGCCAATAAAGTGGCATTTTTAGTTAGTGGTGGATCATGAAAAACAGGAGCCAGACAGTTTTAAAACCAGTCCATCTAGAAGAGTAAATGGAACGTGGTTTGAACATGAAGAAACGAGCGGAGTAGCAAAAATGTTCAGACGAGTCCAAATGATGCTACCGTTCATCAACCTCGTGTTCAGTGAGCAGTGGCAGGTAACAACCATCTATTTATACTAATATTCACTATATTATGTATGGATTACTCAAAATGAAAAGGTCTTTTGTCGTTAATCAGCCTCGTTTTTGCGATGCGCCCCACATTCGACCTACAATCAGAATCGTGGTAGCGTTTTGAATGGGTATGTGGCCTCTGCAGTGACTTGAAATGTCCGAGTGGTGTAAAAGTCACCATTTTTATCCCCTCACAATCAGACGAGTCCCCTACCATTTACCCGACTCCGCTGGGATAAAAGTCTTGGTTGGTTTGGGCANGATTCAATCCCTAGGCCATGCGTGTGCCATTTAACACTAAACAGCTTCTATTTGTTGTTTATTATACCACCATTTATTTACTCGTTCTTTTTTGCTTCTATACAGAAGGTTCAGCGCTTGGGAAGCGGTTCTGAAGTGACTCATGCAAGGATAATAATTTGGTACGAGGGGTGTCAAAATAATTGATACCAGTTTATGGTTAATGTTCATGGTTAGGTTCTCTCCTATGTTCCTGGTGGACACTATGCGCCTCATTACGATCTTCTCAATTACGCTTCTGCAGAACAATTGGATGCATATACAAAAGTCAACGGAGATCGATTCGCAACATTTCTTCTGATGCTTCAGCCAGCAACCCAAGGAGGAGGTTCGTAAACGGACAAGATTTACATCTTTACTTCATTTTTCAAAGAGCCACTTTACATGGTTGGAAGGATGGGGTCCTAGATCAATATCCTCTTGAGCATCCCAATCCTTCCACCAACATTTTCGAGCCGATCAGTTGACACCAGATCCACGCGTAAAGATGAGAGCACCGGATTTCACTTCGGTCGGCTTCACATTTTGTCTAGTCACCCCTGATACCATTGACAACAGCACTGGGGCCTAAATTGTCAGTGTAGTTGACCAAGATCTGATTAGTGAAAAAGCTGAGATTGGTGACACATCTCCAGCTGTTCCAACTTTCCAGAATTCTCGGAGTTAGATAAAAGGGTTCACTTCAGCTGGCACTGCTGCACATAATACATCCATCTAAGTGAAAAATTGTTAATTTTTGTAAATTTTTCAGGCACTGTTTTTCCCTACTTGGGGATCACAGTGATGCCTTCACCTGGTGACGCAGTTTTCTGGACTAATATGAACGTTTCTAAAGAAAAGGTGAGGAAAGGTGGTTGATGTTCTTTGAGTGCTCATTTCACTATGTCTACCTTGCACTTTCGATTCCTTGGGGACCAGAAATGTCCTATCACTGTTTTCACTATCCTTCACATCTTTTCAGTGAGTTTTTCAATTGACCAGGAATAGCACCACATATTCCTTGAGGAGTAAAATTATTTACCCACTCAGTCTCTCGGGGGCGTTTGCAATTGGCTGGGGACTCTAAGAATGACTCCAACTCCACTGGAGTTTGACTACACCAAGACTGGCTTCAGAAAAATGTCCAAACTTGCTTGATACTATGGGAAGAGCGTTTTTCTCGAGATGACCCTTACTTTTGAATGGAAAGAGAATCAGTTGATGGTGATTCCTCCTCGATCAGTCTGACGTTCATTCGGTAGTGAGAACTATTTTGCGGTCAACAGGCTTACCACCTTACTGTACCCGTACCCCGTACAGAATAGAGATACCAACAAGGTCAACACTTCATGTGACATCCCAAAGGGGACCATGTTCTCCCTGTATTAAATTTTTTTCAGGAACTTAATAGCCTTCATGGTGGTTGTGCTATATGGGAAGGTGAAAAAATAGCATCAACATTGTGGATTCGAGCCAAAGATCAGGATCTTCTCCAGTCGCCTCTTCAAAGTGGCAAACTTGACATCCGAAAATTAATCCGTCCGCGATTGGAGTACATGGGAATAACGCCTATTAGGATGTAGATAGAAGTATTTATTATATCGTACTAATTATGGAAGGCGCTTTGAAGCAGCTTAAGATATTAGAGCATTCTCAAGTCGTTTTGTTAATGGTTAAAATAAAGTTGTTTGTAAAAAAAAATGACTGTGTTCATCGAATCGTAACAGTCACGTCGACTTGCATATGCTTTGTATTTGGGTGTAAGCTTAATTTTGAAGAATCGAAGAGTAGCTAACCTTGAGAATCCATAATGGTGCTCAGAAAGGTTTCGTAGTTCGGAAAATATAGTCTATTCTGAAGCACTATATCAATCGACCATAGTTAACGTCCGAATAGTATCATTGTGGCCTGACTAGCTTACAAAATAGAACACTTAAAATTTTCGTGCAATAAGTGGAAAATTTAGAATCTGCGAAATTTGCGGGGAAACTCGTCCAATTCTGGGTTAGCGTGGGTGACGGAACATCTCCCCGATTTTCCACGTTCGCTTTTCGGCATGCTGCGAATCTTTTTTATGGAGTTGTCTCGCAGCATCACTGCAACTACCGTACTCTACCCGCCTCTCGGCCAATCGATAGGACACCGAAATGTTCGTTGGATGCCTTTCTTTTTTGATTGCTTTTGATTGTTTCTTTCTGTTTCTTTTTTGTTTTGATGTATATTAGACTGATTGGTGGCGGCATGTCGCCCTCTCTATTATCGACGATCAAATTCGCATTGGGAGAGAAGAAAGTGGCTAGCAAATGTAACTTGTTGAAGGACTGACTCACAGATTGCGTGCTCCCATCTTCAATCGCAATTCTACGATACGCGGCGGGTGCGGCAAGCGCGGCGCGGTGTCCTGAACCAGTGACCAGGAATTTTTTGAACTTAGTTTTGCCAATGCTTAATAAAAAAATCACCTTCTTTCGGAATAGTTCGCAATTCACGGAAGTGACAGCTCAGCTCGTCCTTTTCTGGTTTGGTGTCAGCATAATCCTCCCATTCCCGGACTAATGAC